ACAGCTCACTAATCCGAGAGCGGTGAAAAGAAACATCAGTTGTAAGGAAATATTCCCAAACGTCTCCGTTCTACACGGGAATCCTTTAAGTTCGTTAATTAGTTGTTTACAAGGCGCCGGTGGCTGTGTGGAAAGAACACTGGATGCGTGATCCTGTGGTCCCGGGTTCGATCCCGGGCGCCGGCGAGAAACGATGGGCAGAGTTTCTTTCACCCTGATGTCCCTGTTGCCTAGCAGTAAATAGGTACCTGGGAGTTAATCAGCTGTCACGGGCTGCTTCCTGGGGGTGAAGGCCAGGTCGAGGACCGGGCCGCGGGGGACACTAAAGCCCCGAAATCATCTCAAGAAGAAGGCTATTTCCCCCCCCCCCCCTTGGGCTTTAACTACCCTTTGCCATTTCTTGGGTGGGATGAGGTAGTGCTAAGCTAAGACCTGCCACAGTGGAGGCTGCGAACAGCCAAACGATGGACGAATATTGACTTGCAGATTCAAGTTCAAGTATATTTATTGAGACAAGAAAGAAATACATCTCAAAGGGATAGAGTAGCGTAGGCTATTTCTACCTAGATGAACCTTCGCTTCAAGACCTCAGGAGGCCTGAATTACCTTCCTGCAACCACACGCGTGAAGACGGCTCTTTGCTAAATCTTTTAAGTCTCTTCTGAAACGTTTTTAGTCACTCAAACTTAAATTAAAATCTGTTATTTTGTGCTGGCATGATGTCTCAATATGACATTAACACAACAGGAGACACTTTTTCACCAGTAAAGTAAACAGTGATAGTCAGCTGATGCTCTTATCAGGAATAAATGTGGCTGATATTATATTTAATGATAATCGGAGAGAGAGAGAGAGGCATCCATTCAATTTCTTAAAAAAACGAGACAGGTTTAAATGGACTTCAGATAGGGGTTTGCATGATTTCAGGAGGTTTCAGATAGGTTCTGTGGGTTTTAAAAGGTCTCAGTGGGTTTCAGACGGGTTCAATGGGTTTCAAATGGTTTTAGTGGGTTTCTGACGTGTTCAGTGGATTTCAGATGGGTTCAATGGATTCAGACGGGTTCACTGGGTTTCAGATGCGTTCGGTTGGTTTCAGATGAGTACAATGGGTTTCAGATGGGTACAATGTGTTTCAAATGGGTACAGTGGGTTTCAGAGCGCTTCAAGGGGAAAGGGGGTTCAAATGAGTTCAGTGGTAACGTTCACCATCCAAGGCAGACAGCAGAACAATGTGCACTTAGTCTACAACGATTCAGAGTGGTCCACAGTGGTCCACAGTGGTCCACAGTGGGCCCACAATGAACCACAGTGGTCCATTATAAAGCAGATAAAAAGAGCCGAAGACATTACCCTTAACAAAATGAGTTGACGTTCTGTCCCATGAAGTGTTTTATCTGTGCTCAAGTTTATTTGGCTAACAAATCATGCGTTTTATAGACTGTAAGTCCTCCAGTCGGAGGTTTACACAGTCATCTCAGAACTAAATCAACTCTCATACCAGGAAATACTGAGGGCTGCTGGACCATCATCACTACAAACCATCGAGACCTTTAAAAATACGAATTGAAAGTGAATAATTACCAAAAAGGAGGCTCCCACCGGGAAAGATTTTGTATACAACCGCCTGGCGCGACAGGATCTTCAAAAGGCATCTGTCACTTGGAATCCCAGTACGAGACTCCCAGTACGAGACTCCCAGTACGAGAATCCCAGTATGAGAATCCTAGTACGAGAATCCCAGTATAAGAATCCCAGTACGAGACTCCCAGTACGAGAATCCCCAGTACGAGAATCCCCAGTACGAGAATCCCAGTACGAGAATCCCAGTACGAGAATCCCCAGTACGAGAATCCCAGTATGAGAATCCCAGTACGAGACTCCCAGTACGAGAATCCCAGTACGAGACTCCCAGTACAAATTAGAAGATATTAATCCAGATAACATCTTCAATTGGTTTCAGGGGCAACAGCTTCTAGCTTTACAAGCCACAATGTAGGACAGAAAAGAGATTTTTTTTTCATCCATAGGGCTATCAGCCCATGGAGCCACCTATCCGCCGAAGCCTGAAAAGTCAAGACAATAATCTATTTAAAAATATAAATGGAAAAAAAGTCCCACAGAAAATAACGGAGGGACATTTTGACAAGCCACGTCCGGTTTCCTGTCTCTGCCGAGGCTACTAGAGATGACGGCCGTTAGGCAAACTCAGGCAAATATATCACAGACTTGCTGATCTTGCTAGATGAGCGGGATATATATTATGTATATATATATATATATGTCGTACCTAGTAGCCAGAACTCACTTCTCAGCCTACTATTCAAGGCCCGATTTGCCTAATAAGCCAAGTTTTCATGAATTAATTGTTTTTCGACTACCTAACCTACCTAACCTAACCTAACCTAACTTTTTCGGCTACCTAACCAAACCTAACCTATAAAGATAGGTTAGGTTAGGTTAGGTAGGGTTGGTTAGGTTCGGTCATATATCTACGTTAATTTTAACTCCAGTAAAAAAAAATTGACCTCATACATAATGAAATGGGTAGCTTTATCATTTCATAAGAAAAAAATTAGAAAAAATATATTAATTCAGGAAAACTTGGCTTATTAGGCAAATCGGGCCTTGAATAGTAGGCCAAAAAGTGAGTTCTGGCTACTAGGTACGACATATATATATATATATATATATATATATATATATATATATATATATATATATATATATATATATATATATATATATATATATATATAACTGAAAACTCACACCCCAAAAGTGCCTCGAACCCATACTGCCAGGAGCAACGCAACTGGTATATACAGGACGCCTTATTCCACTTGACCATCACGACCGGACAAAAACTGATGGTAGCCGAGGCTATTAAGCCAATCAGCCCGCCGGCACTCTGATGGTAATCTTGGGCATAGCATTTTATCAAATCACCTCATTCTTTGGGCACACGTGAGGAACACAAATGCGAACAAGCCTGAATGGTCCCCAAGCAAGACTATATGCAACTGAAAACTCATACCCCAGAAGTGACTCGAACCCATACTGCCAGGAGCAACGCAACTGGTATGTACAGGACGCTTTAATCCGCTTGACCATCACGACCTTAAGCTGGAGGCTTAAGGCGTGTGGACTTATATACTGTGACTCGCAGAGTGCACTCCTGGCATTGAACGCACATAGTAGTAACACCCAGAAAATAGTCAGTGATATTCGAATGAATGTTTTAGCTGCTAAAGAAAACAGATTTGAAATTAAATTCCTATGGATACCATCACATGTTGGCATCTCAAGGCATGACACTGTTGATATGCTTGCAATGACAGCTTGTAGAAAACCAGTGGTAAAAATTGATATGGATGTTTCATTAGCAGTAATAAAGAGAATACTTAAACAAATATCTAATGAAAATCTCACCGACCTAACAAATTCACAAAGACATGAAAGTTGTAGCATTAAATATTATGATAGATATCGTGAGGAGACATTCACATATGGGACTAATAGAGCAAGAACCCGGCAATGTGATGTTATAGTGGCCAGAATACACCTGGGATATAAACGTATCTGGCAGCTTTCTCAAAACCCAAATGTCGAGTACACAATGTGTCAACTTTGTGAAAGAGAAAACATGCTCTCTCTTGAACATTATATTGTAGAATGTCCCATACTGACTGACTTTCGTCCTCCTGGGCTGAGGTCTACTTAACTCTGTAATTACTAAACGAGTACTGGAACACTTGATGATATATTGGACTTGTACCCAAGATTGACCATGTAATGTATCAACTATAGAATGTATGTATGTGATGTAACTATATAACCTGAGCTTGTAAAAGCACCTTAATCACCCTCAGTGATTAAGTGCTTAATAACACGTTAGTTTCTTTATCAGCTATCTTACCCTCTCAGAGTAGGAGAGCCATAAATGTATGTGTATGTATGTGTGTGCATGTGTATATATGAATGTATGTGTATAAAGTATATGTGGAAGCTGATCAGAATTACATTTCACCTTTGTAAATGCACATTAAAGATACTATGTAAAGAACACATCGACCACTTTATGTAGGGCAGACATAACTCTGTGTATCTATGTATTTATGTCTGTAGGTTAGATTAGCATTTTAAAAGCACGACAATCACCTTCTGTGGCTGTTCAATAAATCCCTGAACTATATGTTTAACAGATCTCTCACCCTCTCCATGGAGGACAGAAGAAAATGTATATATGCTGGTTTGCATTATAAATGCGTGGCCACGTCTGTGGTAGGAAATAATAATAATACAAAAAAAAAACCTCTGCCAGCAATGCTAACGGTGCAGGTCGCCAATCGTTTTGTCCATCACAATACGAAGTTGGACGTTGTGTCCAGGGCGCGATCTCGTTTCTTATATTTTCATAAGCCTTCCTTTGTCTGGGTGTGAGTGGTGTAGCCCGCCGCCCCCTTCAGCGTCTGAAGGGCGGCTCATTGTGGGCTTCGTGTTGTCTCGCTGGCCCGTGGGTCACTACTGTCAATATTTCCACCTTCAACCTTCGTGACAGAGGGGCGGGACAGTCTTCGTGACAGAGGGGCGGGACAATCATTATAAACAGATGTTATATTTGTCCTTTAATCTTAATGTTAGGTGTTAATGGTAACTTATAAGTCCTAATTAATATTCACACAACCAGGTGCTCACAGCAACAACACACAATCAGGTACTCACAGCTACAACACACAATCAGGTACTCACAGCAACAACACACAATCAGCTGCTCACAGCTACACACAATCAGATGCTCTCTACTCTAAAAAAAACAACATATTTTTGGAGGTCTTAAAAGCTTTCACAACATCTAATTAATCCTTAATTTAGCCCAAAAGCACCAGCTAAAATATTTAACAGTAGTGTAATTCATTCCCTGATCTACAGTTAATCAAAGGAATTCAATCTCTGTGAGACTTAATAAAAAAGTGACATTTTTTTTTGGTATTTGCAGGTGGAGTGAGGTGTTGGTGTTGGTGGCGGTGGCGGCGGTGGCTGGCGGCCAGATGTCAGAGCTCGACGCATCCAGGGCCCTCCAGGTAAATGGTTCACCTGTGACATCGAGAACACTGTGGTAGGGTCTATAACCTGGTAGGGCATGAATAAGTTATACCGCCACAGCGTTACACACACACCTCGTGTATTCACCTAGTTGTGTTTGCGGGGGTTGAGCTTTGCTCTTTCGGCCCGACTCTCAACTGTCAATCAACTGTTTACTAACTACTTTTTTTTCCCACACCACACACACACACACACACAGTGACCTTTCCCTCCGACTCCCTACTGGGGTGGTCAGGTGTATAATAGCCAAATGAAAAATGAATATAACTATTTCACCACAATGTTAAATCTTTATCTTAAAAGGGGGGGGGGCCATCAAGCTCATGAACAATAGTTTACATAAAAGGTATTGTGTAACTAACAATAAATTAAAGTGTATAGCAAACTAACATGTTAACTTGAGTGAGGCTATAGTGGTATATCCCAACTTTGTTCTCAGCAATACAAAACCAAACACACACATAAGGACCCATTAAAGAAAAAAAAAGAAAATGTTCATGTATTATATCGATTACCATAAACAATGTTAATATTTACAGATACTCAGACAACACCAGGAAACAACCGAACGCGTATTTACATCACCGGGGAAATCACAAGTATAAACACGAATATCCACATCACCAGGGAATAAACTAACACGAATATTGACATCACCAGGAAATAAACTGCTGTAACACGAATATCCACATCACCAGGGAATAAACTAACATGAATATCCACATCACCAGGGAATAAACTAACATGAATATCCACATCACCAGGGAATAAACTAACATGAATATCCACATCACCAGAGGAACAAACTAACATGAATATCCACATCACCAGGGAATAAACTAACATGAATATCCACATCACCAGGGAATAAACTAACATGAATATCCACATCACCAGGGAATAAACTAACATGAATATCCACATCACCAGAGGAATAAACTAACATGAATATCCACATCACCAGGGAATAAACTAACATGAATATCCACATCACCAGAGGAATAAACTAACATGAATATCCACATCACCAGAGGAATAAACTAACAAGAATATCCACATCACCAGGGAATAAACTAACATGAATATCCACATCACCAGAGGAACAAACTAACATGAATATCCACATCACCAGGGAATAAACTAACATGAATATCCACATCACCAGAGGAACAAACTAACATGAATATCCACATCACCAGGGAATAAACTAACATGAATATCCACATCACCAGGGAATAAAGTAATGCTCACTTTCCTGCACTGTTCACTGCTGCCGTTATGATGAAACACTTGGATTTTAACACTACTGTTTACTAATATTTTCACGTAATATAAACAAATATTACTCATTTTAATTCAAATATAGAGATTTTGAAATGAAACATGCAAGCTTAAATTTGTAATATTACATTGAACAGAAATATACACGAGATAATTAACATATAAACTATATTCTAAATTAATCGTGTGCTACACATAGAATAGAACACGAAACAGTGGACGCAAGCTGCAAAATTTTGATTCAGAAAAGGTTACGATAAGTAACAATAATACTTTAGGAATAGGGTTGTAGATTTACGGCACAAAATACCGTACATCATAACAGATAGATTGCTGGATTGTTTCAAGTATTAGTTTAACATATATAGGCCGGGGAGGATTCACTGGGCGCAAATCATTAATTGTAGCCTCTGTTTAACTCAACAGTAAAATGTGTACTTGGTTGTAACAACGATTCTTCGTGGCGGGGATCGTATTCCAGGGACCTGCCCGAAACGCTACGCGTACTAGTGGCTGTACAAGAATGTAACAACTCTTGTATATATATTATATATATATATATATATAAATATATAATATATATATATATATATATATATATATATATATATATATATATATATATATATATATATATATATATATATATATATATATATATATATGAACCGTTGTGGGTGGAAATAAATAGGAACCGCCTGGCCTGGGTCAGTTAAGAAGTAGTTGATAGCCTGGACCAATAGGCCCTCTGAACATTTCCTCAGATCTTATGGTTTCATGTGTTTATTTTGCAGATGTTGCAGCATCTAGGGCTGGACCGGGGAGGGAGCCTGCCGACCGTCACCCAGGGCCACAAGCTCCGCCAGGGAGACTCCCCCATCTACTACATCAAGCTACCTCCTCTACCTTACTACTACGTCAACAACAACAACATACAGCAGCCAGCCTACACCACAACCTCCTTCCCCTTCCAGAAGGTGTGTGGCGATGAGGCTCACTGTCGGGATAAGTGATGTACAAGGTGATAGAGGACGGAGTAATAGGGTGTAGGAAGAAAAGAATTGTCTTGAAGGACTTGATATAGAGTAGCATGATGGTGTTATATGGGGGAGATTTAGGTATGGACTATTGGAGGGATTAAGAGGAATTTTAAGGTTAAGTATGTGACTATATTTCTTATGTTATCCCTATAATGCTAGAAACTTTTTTTCGATAGCAATTTGTGTCCTTAAATACACGTTGACTGCACAAACCATGGCTGCTTCTACCTTTTATTTACATATTTATATATATATTTCATTTTCTTCGAAGGTGGACCTGAACTTCACCAACAATGGCCGACCAACTCAGATCTACCACTGGGGTCAGTCCACCTCCAACCCCGACTTTTGGAAGCCTTCCCTTCCCTCCACCACCACAACCACCACTACAACCACCACTCCTCCACCCACCACCACCACGACCACTATTGCTCCGACCACTACCACGACCACCAGACCAACAAAGAAGCCGTGGCTGACCCTCAACAAATACTTCCCATACAACGGACGACCTTCCAATGTGTATATTTGGAAGCCTCGGCCCCCCGTCGCCGTTCACAAATACAAACATCCTTATTTCAAACACTTTAACTACTAACAGACACATCTAAAGCTACTTTATTTCAATGTTAATTAATTAGTACAAGCTTACAGAATGGAAGGAACAAAAGCTAGCGCATAAAAGCCCACAAATTCCAATGCCAGACCCTAAGCCTAAAGCCCATCATTCAGTTTAATGGACTAAAGCCTCCGGTACAGATGTTTAGGCTTCATTTACATAAGTGATAAGTAACTACAATCAATAACAACATTAGTTATGTTGTAAATGCTTATTAATGAGTTTGTAGAAGCTTGTTTGAGGCTTCGCTTCACAGCCGTACTTACTATTAGAAAACCACTTTCGCTTCAAGGAAAACATCTTGAAATTTAGTTAACGAGTAACGAGGCTAGACTGCCATACACAAAGGTCTACTCCAGCAACTGCTTCTTAAAATTTAATTTAATAGTCGCTAATAAAGGATAGATATGTCATGGGTCTCATCAGCTTGATTTTTGAGTACTGAAAGTTTCTGTACTCAAGGCAAATAGAAAACGTCTAACGAACACCAGACGTTGGATGCTATTACTAATACTAACGGTTGCTAGACGCGGGTTGTTAGTGCTGATACGAATGCTCGCTAGACGCTGGTTGTCTGTGCTAGAGTCGCCTCCTGTACATGCCAGCACAACTGTATATATTTTTAATAGTTAAAATATAAACCCTAGATTCCCTTGTTCTTTCTTCTTGGTAGCTCATTTCATGGCTCTCTGTTTCATCTCTTGTATATGCAAACTATGACTTTTTTCGAGTACTGTTATAATTGGTAGCTCATTCCTTTAGACTGGTCGGTAGAGCAACGACCTTGTTTTTTGCGGGGTCTGCGTTCGATCCTCGATGACCCAAATGATTAGACATCTTTTCTTTACTTCCTTCTCATATTCTAGCTCGTATCCTGGCCTCATTTCAGACTTAAGTGCTATATAGTCATATTAGATTAGGGCTTTCTCCTCATAACTATCAGGGGAAAGCGCCAAGCCATTACAATTATATAGCACTGGGAAGGGATCAGGATAAGGATTTGGGATGGGACGGGGGGGGGGAAGGAATGGTGCCCAGTCACTTGGTTATTGTTGTTTTAGTTTCAGCTACTCGGAGCTCAAAGTTTCAAGCAGCACGGGCTATGGTGAGCCCGTAGTGGACTTACCTGGCACACGAGATGTGTCAGGTTACCAATCACTTGAACGGTCAGAGATTAAACGCTCACCTGCATGAACCGAGACCGTTGCTCTACCGTCCAGCTCAAGTGGTTGGGCTCCTCATAAGTATTTTGCACTTTTCTTTGGCGTTAAGTGTGTTAAACTACAAAACATTTGGATCAACTTATCTAAGAAATTTGTTATATCATAATCAAGGTCATTATGAACTTGGTCATAAAGGTCAGTCGCGGAAGGAACTCCCAAAGGTGGACGGGTTCAAACGGAATATATAGGAAACTTAACTTCCACATTCTCTGATTTTCTATTCACCATGCCATAACAAGTCTATGTAAATAACAATGATTAATATTTCCAAGTGTCTCGACAGCGCGAAATTATGTCACAGCTGATTATTTTCGGTGTTCTGGCAAGTCTTATTACCTGTGGTGATGAACCATACCTGAATGGTCTTGTTTAACTCTTGATGTATTATTTTATGAAAGCCACTTCCGTGTGCTGACACTCTAAGAGGATGGCTCCTGCAAACTTCCAGCCAGTGCCTGTAGGAGGCTCCTGCAGGAGTCCAGCAAGCGCCTGTAGGAGGCTCCTGCAGGAGTCCAGCAAGCGCCTGTAGGAGGCTCCTGCAAACTTCCAGCCAGTGCCTGTAGGAGGCTCCTGCAGGAGTCCAGCAAGCGCCTGTAGGAGGCTCCTGCAGGAGTCCAGCAAGCGCCTGTAGGAGGCTCCTGCAGGAGTCCAGCCAGCGCCTGTAGGAGGCTCCTGCAGGAGTCCAGCAAGCGCCTGTAGGAGGCTCCTGCAGGAGTCCAGCAAGCGCCTGTAGGAGGCTCCTGCAGGAGTCCAGCCAGCGCCTGTAGGAGGCTCCTGCAGGAGTCCAACTAACGCCTGTAGGAGGCTCCTGCAGGCTTTCAGCCAACGCCTGTAGGAGGCTCCTGCAGGCGTCTAGTCAGCGCCTATAGGAATGAAGCGCGAAGGGTTAAATATTTTACTGTAGGAACTAAACTAAAATCTAGACACCGACTTAGAAAATAATATTATGTACGTTGGATTTGGGAATCTACACAAGCAACCATGTCTTCTTAAATATGACTTGTTTCCTGCTGTGTCATAAATATTGCGCCTCTTCCTTATCCTTATCCTCCAGAGAATGCTTCCTCCAGCATCCTTATCTCATACTTCAGAGGATGCTACCCCCAGCATCTTTATCTTTGGAGACTGAGGATGCTACTTCCAGCATCCTTATCTCAGACTCCAGAGGATGCTACCCACCGTATGTATGTTATTGTGTAAATAAAATCAAAGCCTCCAGGATACTTCCACTACAGCCTCTACGTACTGGCAGATATCCGGCCTTAGGCTGTGTAAAAATATTGTTATTAATATTATTTTAGGCTTTCTGTGTAATACTCTGTGTTCGCCTTGTGACTGTCAGCATATTTATTATAATTAATTAGCCTAGGTATAATTACCAGTGTTTGTATTTATTGTAGATTAATTATACTCATCGTATTTATATTTTCATACAGTTCATGTTTTATACAAATTTGTTGATGGAATAAAATAATGTTTACTTATAAAACTATCTCTTATTGCCTATGGTTGAAATATATATGTATATACAAATGCACATGTCTTGTAGCGCAGTTGACTACACGGTTGGCTCGTAATCTGAAGGTCCTGGGTTCGATTACGATCAGAACGGAGACGTTTGGGCAAGTTTCCTGTCACCACTGTTAAAGGAGTACCGGTACTCCTTTACATGGGTACATTTGACCCTCACCCACTTTCTCCCTCCCTCCCCCCCCTCCCTTCATTGTTCTTGTGTTATAAGCACTAGTTATAGTAGTTTAGGCATAGTATGTACTAGTTCCATCTAGAAATTCAATATTCTGTTTGTAAATCATTTTGAATGTATGTACTTTTACCTGAACAAACATTATTATTATTATTATTATTATTATTAATATTATTATTATTATTATAGTTCTGTGTGTCTGCTAGATTTCAGAAAGTCCCAACAAGTAAAACTTGTCAACAAAAAAAGTCTACTCCCATCTCAGCACTGCCCTCCACCACAGTTACTCTGACGTCTCCTCTTACACGGTACACCTCATTTTCACATAAAAATTCAGGACAAATACAGTGGAACTATTAATCGTAGCGGTCCCAAGCGTTCTCGTTTTTTATGCGTGGTCGATAGGGTAAATTAGATTAGGTCCGATCGTTTTAATACACTATTTTCTGTCCGTTCTGGGTACTCTGGAGGAGTGACTGAACGTCTAGTACCGTAAAGTGGTTCACTGCCTTCTCTCCTTGCTGTAGGCTGCGTGTCGCAAGGTCGTTAATGCAAGTGTGTCCTGTCTTCTGCAGTCTGGAGGTGTGCTAGCTGGCTCCAGCTTGGTCACTTCCTGAAATCTCTCGTTTAGTATCTAACGTGTCTCTTTGTGTGTGTGTGGGAGTGAGTGAGTGAGTGAGTGAGTGAGTGAGTGAGTGAGTGAGTGAGTGAGTGAGTGAGTGAGTGAGTGAGTGAGTGTATTCACCTAGTTGTATTCACCTAGTTGTGCTTGCGGGAGTTGAGCTCTGCTCTTTCGACTCGCCTCTCAACTGTCAATCAACTGTTTCTACTACTACTTTTTTCCACACCACACACACACACGCACACACCAGGAAGCAGCCCGTGACAGCTGACTAACTTCCAGGTACCTGGCTTCCTGCTCCCTACACCTATCTTCATTACATTACATTTGCTTGGGTTAAACTCTAACAACCATTTGTTCGACCATTCCTTCAGTTTGTCTAGGTCTTCTATAAGCCTCAAGCGGTATTCCTCTGTCTTAATCCTTCTCATAATTTTGGCATCCTCAGCAAACATTGAGAGGAATGAGTCTATACCCTCTGGGAGATCATTTACGTATATCAGAAACAGGATAGGACCGAGTACAGAGCCCTGTAGGACTCCACTGGTGACTTCACACCAATCTAAGGTCACACCCCTCACTGTAATTCTTTGGTTCGTATTGATTAGATATTCCCTTATCCACTGGAGCACTTACCAGTTACTCATGCCTGTCTCCAGTTTATGTACCAGCCTCTTATGGGGGACTGTGTCAAAGGCTTTCCGACAGTTCAAAAAAATGCAGTCCGCCCAGCCTTCTCTTTCTTGTTGAATCTTTGTCACCTGGTCGTAGAATTCTATTAAGCCAGTGAGGCAAGATTTACCCTCCCTGAACCCTGTTGATGGGTTGTCACGAAGTTCCTTCTCTCCAGATGTATTACTAGATTTTTTCTCACAATCTTCTCCATCACCTCGCATTGTATACAAGTTAAGGATACTGGCCTGTAGTTCAGTGCCTCTTACCTGTCGCCCTTTTTGTATATTGGGACCACATTCGCCGTCTTCCATATTTCTGGTAAGTCTGCCGTCTCCATTGACCTACTATACACTGTGGAGAGTGCCAAACAGAGTGCCTCTGCACACACTTTCAATACCCATGGTGATATCCCGTCTGGACCAACAGCCTTTCTCACATTCAGATCCAACAGGTGTCTCTTGACCTCATCTCTCGTAATTTCAAACCCTTCCAAGGCCGCCTGGTTTACTGCCCCCTCTCCTAGCGCAGTGACCTCACCTTGTTCTATTGTGAAGACCTCCTGGAACCTCTTGTTGAGTTCTTCACACACCTCTTTGTCATTCTCTGTATTCCTGTCCTCGCCTGTTGTAAGTTTCATTACCTGTTCTTTCACTGTCGTTTTCCTCCTGATGTGACTGTGGAGTAGCTTTGGTTCGGTCTTGGCTTTGCTTGCTATATCATTTTCATAGTTTTTCTCTGCTTCCCTTACTCTGTGTGTGTGTGTTTATGCGCTGGCATATGTACGTACACTGTTTATATCTGGAACAGTTGTTCAACACTGTAGACACACTTGACACCACACAACGCCATACTTGACACCACATAACGCCTCACTTGACACCACACAACGCCATACTTGACACCACACAACGCCATACTTGACACCACACAACGCCTCACTTGACACCACACAACGCCATACTTGACACCACACAACGCCATACTTGACACCACACAACGCGATAAACATTACCACAGTCCTCCAGCTTCCAAACCTTCCATCCGGGAAGGTTGACAGCCGGAGACGATGGCCAGGTTCATCACCTGGCCTCCCTGACCTCAACAGTAGGCTCGTAAAGGACCTCCAGGTGCGGCTAAACAGGATAATAGCAGCAGCCAATTAGCCCTCCTGTTCACCTGGCAGGTACTGGTACAGGGACCATTCTCCTTCTCTGCCTATCCACGTCCTTGGACCCGTGTCTGCGCCTGTTTTAGTCTCTGTCTTTTCTGTATGTGTAAGTGTCCTGTCTGCCGTGGTCTGTGTATTGTGTGTGTCTCTCCCTCCGTACCGCCTCCCATCCCTCCAGGAATGTGGGAGGGGAGGTATGACTGAGTGGTAACGGCCACCCGGTATATCGTCCGCTGGGATCTTTTTTTTTTACTCTCCCTTTGCTTCTCTCTCACTGTCTTTGCGCAATTACCTGTGGTTGGACGGTAGAGCGACGGTCTCGCTTCATTCAGGTCGGCGTTCAATCCCCGACCGTCCAAGAGGTTTGGGCACCATTCCTTCCCCCCGTCCCATCTCTAACCTTTATTCTGAACCCTTCCAAGTGCTATATAGTTGTAATGGCTTGGCGCTTTCCCCTTTGATAATTCCTTCCCCTCACTTTCTTGTTTCCAAGTTGTCGTTTTGTTCACCGGTGGAGGCGGAAACAAATGAACAGAGTTTCTTTAACCCTGATGCACCTATTCACCTAGCAGTAAAGAGGTACCT